CTCTCTCTCTCTCTCTCTCTCTCTCTCTCTCTCTCTCTCTCTCTCTCTCTCTCTCTCTCTCTCTCGGTGTGTGTGTGTCGACCCCCTCGGCCCCCTGGCACCCAGCCCGCGCACCACCACGACCCTCAGACCCTCGTCGCAAATACGGCCCCCGGGAACCAACGCAGCCTCCTCGGTCACCTGCACCACCCCGTGCAGAACTCCTTGCCCGATTTTTCCCGGGCCCGATGGGAGCGTCACGCGTGGACCGCTTCTTCCTTTATGATAAATATAATAAGATAAGAGATGGAATGATGCTGCCGTTCATGTGGCAGATGCTTTAGATTGGGAAGGGTTTTTATAACTTTGTGGGTTTTAACAAACCGAATGCTGCTGTGTTTCGTACAACTGGCGCTTTTTATCAGGTGCAACGAAAAGAAGTTGGAGGAGTCCCTCACAACTCGGCTCCTGGTAACCGTGGGGGAAAGTGTGACGAAATCGTTGGACAAGGATGCGGCAGTAGGGAGCAGAGATACACTCGCGAAAACTCTCTATTCAAGGCTTTTTGATTGGTATGTATGTCCTCAGCCTCTTCGTCCTTTTTTTTTTTTTTTTTTTTTTTTTTTTTTTTTTTCCCCAAGCACAAAGCCCCTTCCATTCTGGGGGGCAGCAGTCTGTTTACTTGTCACCGGCAAGCATGTTTGTACATCCAAAGAAAGGGGGGAGATCAGATCAGCAAAGGGGAACAGCCCAACCCTTGTGGCATTGATCGTCTACCAAGGGGGGACCTGCTAGAGGGGCCCCACCCCCCCAAACCATGGTCTTTCTCTGGGGGCCACCCTGCTGGCCAGGAGGTTTCCTAGCAGCACCCGAACACGCAGCAGGGGGACCCTCAGAGAGACGGGGCGCGGGGAGGGGCCTCCCCTGCAGTTCCTCAGGCCGCCTATCAAACTCCACAGACTATCGTATCGGCACTTCCTACTTAATCTACCTTTGTCCAGCTATCAATCATGCTATCGGTCTTAACCTGTTTGGGTTACCTTGCCATTCCTCACTGTACCTTCCTCTTACCTAGCCCCCATGGCACTCCGCCAATTTCATAGACCAGGCAGGATATTTAAAAAAAAAAGGATGACTTTGTGAGTTTGGAATCTTTGGATTGATTTTGAAGATTGTGAACTATCATTCAACTATGTGAAATTTAAAATTTTGGATTGATTTTGAAGATTGACAACTATTCAAACTTTTTGGATTCATTGTGAAATTTTAGTTTTGAAATTTTGGATTCATTTTTAAGATTGAGGAGTTGGCAACAAGTTGATAAGTATTGTACAAAATTTTGGATTCATTAAATTTCATTTTGAAATTTGAAAACTGAGAGCTACTTGTAAAATTTTGGGATTATTTTGAAGATGGGAACTATTCATAAAATTTCGGATTCATTTTGAAGATTGAGAATTTTACCAGTTGCGCACCTTTTGGGTCGGAGGGAGTAAAGTTCAGTAAACCACATTTGATATCCTGCAAGAGTGTGGAGCTGGCTTTTCAGTAAACCACATTTGATATCCTGTAAGAGTGTGGAGCTGGCTTTTTTCAAGTTTTTTGGCTTTTAATTTCTCTTCAGTAGCACTGGCCTCTTCGTTGGGAGGAGATGCTGAGGACAGTTCTCATAGCCACTGCTGCCCTTCGAGAGTGGCATGAAGGCGGGTTAGTATTTTTTCTGTGGGGATCAGGGAGGTGATCTGGAGGTCATCGACAAATAGGAGCATGGAGGTAACAAAAATGGCGACCATAGCTCTTCACCTCGACTTCTTCTGCCATAGCTGCATGCTTGGGTGATTTCACCCCCATAAACCACCAGTACTTGGCCCAGCTATCGGCCGCGGGCGATTCTCGTTAATGCGCCGGTAGTTGTGCGCTTCGGGGCACCGAACCACAATGGCTGGAAGCGCCAGCCAAAATGAAAACGAAACGGTCCCCTGGCGGCTCGGCAAAACTTGGCGTGCAGGGGGTATCCCGGCTCAGCATCAATAGCTGGGCCAAGTACTGGTGGTTTAATCCTGCTTTGACACAGCGGCTCCAAGACTCCTCCTTTCCCACAGAGACACTCACACACACACACACACACGGAGAGAGAGAGAGAGAGAGAGAGAGAGAAATGATTGGGTGATTTGACCACCTTAATCCTGCACTGACACGGCTCCAAGACTCCTTTCCCACACACACACACACACACACACACACACTCACACACACAGAGAGAGAGAGAGAGAGAGAGAGAGAGAGAGTTACATGCTGCGCCTGCACAAGCAGGCCATTTTCCAGGCCCTGCGCCCTTCAGCCAAAAAGCCTAGAATTCATCCTGAAAACAGGGGCCTACAGTCCCTGTGTCGTTTCAAACTAAAAATGGCAAGAGCCTTTTTAGCCTGAAACGAAGGGCTATTTTCGGTCGTTCACCAGAACGACCGGCCCTGAAACTCAGGCACCAAACCAGGGTTTCGGGAA